AGGCTCATTAGCGATCCCAACTATTTTTTTCTCTCGGCAACTGTTCTGCTGATGTCTTGGGAATGTTTGGTCATTACATGCCCTATAAATACCTTGTACTTGTCGCCCTAGCCGCACTCTGTTTTTGAGCGGAACAAAGATTTTTTATTTTGAACGCGTCTTTTGGCTTGTCTTGGGAGCGAATACGGGGACAGTCGCGGTACTTTTCGGGACCGAGGTTTTCGTGTTAATTATTACCGTGAGGAGAATCCGAATTCTGCCAAACGCATTACGGCAGCAAGGACGAACCGGCGTACCGTTTAGGAGGGTTTACAACAGATACCTCGCTTCATCATTTTTAAAACAGTGAAGTGGGCTATTCTTGCATTTCAACCCCACGGTATGCTTAGTCGCGCATTTAATGGTCATGGTATGATTATGTGTTCGATGACAAAAGGCTAGTTTGTTGTAGATGGAACATCTGAAAGGGCTCTGTAGATGTCTAGCAACGGTAAAATTAGCCTTTTTTGCGGTCATTTTTTGTTGGGTTACTTTAACCAAATGGTGACATTTTCTGCTCCGTCAAGCTTTTGGATTAGACAAGTAATCAATTTCAAGTCTGTGGCGGCTATTCTTCTCACAACACCTCGGATTTTGACTATAATTACTTCGCCAGTTCATTTCTCTTACGCGATGCAGACAAGCAAGACTTGCTGTCTTGCTCCTTCAAATATTTGACACCATCCCACCTACCCTCCTCCTGATTTGGGAATATGAAGAAATCCGGTTTCATCAGAGTTAAGCAGGTTTTTAAGTCGACATCTATTAAATTTGTCGTCAATGCTTGTAAACCGATCCCCGCTCGATGTTGTGGATACTTAAGCTGTCTCTCCAGCGAAAGAGTGGGTGCTGATATTCCTCTTTTAGAACCGTGGAAAGCCATCTGTCACTTGTTTTGGAATGGTAACATCAAGTTGATGAGCCATTTTTGTGCGTCCTTCTGGGTCGTCGGGTCAGATATTAGCATATTTTTGTTACGCGATTCGAGGAATCACTGATGCATCCAGTCATTCACGCCATACTATACACGCATCGGTGTGGATGTCAACTTTCCATTCTTAACGCCTACATTGCATTAACGTTCCGATTATTTTGTCTCCTTTAAGGCATTCAGTCTCTGCGTCTTTTTGGTCCTCGTAACGGTGGTCATATATCGTTCTGACTTCTTGTTCCTATCCAAACCAGCAGCTCCCATTTTCTCCAATGCCGCTTACGTTCGGTTTGACATTCTTTGTTCATAAACTGGTTTGAGATGTTGTGCTGCACTCAGAACCGACCTCACCATCGGTTATTAGTTTATTTTGCACACTTATTATGGCAGCCACAAACTGAACGGAGCGGTACGTGAGGTCAGCTATTTGTTGTCCTCTCGTTGTCCGGATCGGAAGGAGAAAAGCACTGATAGTTGACCAGTCATCCTAGCGCTTACTGAGTCGAAGTTCGGTTCAGATCAAACATGAACTGACAGTAGAACCTTGGAAGTGTTCAGCGGAGTGGCTTCGACCTTTTTTCACATATGGGTTGCGCCTTGAAGGCAAACAGTCGTTGTATGTGTTGGGTGAGTTGCTTTTCAACACCAAACGTTTTCTGTAGAATTTCCACCCATCCTTACAAAAGTGGCAATCGTAGGAAGTGGTCTTTTTTTTCAATTCAGAATATCCGGATAACAATTTCCCACGTCGCAGTATCAGTTTCCACGCCCGATATCAGTTTAGAACGCGTCAATGGATTTCCCCTGGTATCGCTCCATATCTACGGAGTAGTCTAAATTAGATGGATTGTACTGGCGCAGTTTGGAAACAAAAGCATTTTGCTAGATTCCCAACACTTGTTGAGGACTTATACTACCCAGCTTCCTAATTGCTTTATGTCATCAAACGTCGGTGGGTCACAGTGGCTTAAAAACATTTGGACAATAGGGCTTAATGATTTGACCCGTCCAGCGATTTTGATGAACATGGCTATTACTCAATGATATACAATCAGTTAACTGACTCTAACAGGTCAAGACCTGTAAGCCCTCGTAATGTGTTGAGACCACAGTGCAATATTCCTGTTTCAAATTTCTATCACACTGTCATTGTAATCCACTCGGATTGGATTACTCTGTAGATAGGGAGTATTATCTGAGGAACCCCTTAAAACAACCTAGCCTGACCTCAAGCCAGGGAAAGTGATATTGGGATGGGCGGGAATGCTAACCGCTTATCATAGACTGGAAAAGGTATTAAGGGCCTCATGTACGGAATTTAGTTTATTCACTTTCAAGTCAATATCGGCGTATTTTAAATTAGAGTATAATGCAGGCCATTCTGCAATATTTGCCGGTTATAACCAATAGCCTCATTTGGTTTCAGACGGATTCCCATGTTATTCCACATAACCCAACGCTCTCATCCTGCTACCGATCATCCGTCCCATACAAACTTGGCTTAGATGGTTCGCGTCGTCGCCATACAAACCACGTTACAGCGTGCGATTCGGGAAGTTCGATAACATCACCAAAAGTCAATAGGAAGAACGTTTCTGGTCGTTCTGTCACATCATGCAAGTTACCCCATCCTCCCCAATCTGGACGGATGAGTCAGTTGGCCAATCGTGTGGAAATGTTATTGCTCCAGGTAGGCTTATTTTAACACAGGTAACCCGTAATTATATTTAGAATTAAAGTTCATGTCTCACCCTTGAATTTGTTAAACTAACATATTTAACTTCGTTTATACTCTACGCCTTTTGTCACTCTGATTCTGTTACGTTACCGAATGTCTGTTGTTGCCTTGCAGGACCTCAGCTCTTCCGAATCGCTCCCAACCGTTCGTTCCGCGTCGGCTTCATATATCCAACATAATACACTGAACAATGTGGGTTCACCAAATGGCCTTGAGACTTCTAACCTGGTTGATTCAAAGACCTCAACCAATGGTCCAGCAGCGCCCAGTTCGCACGACTCACCGTGGTATCGTTACTGTCGTCCGCAAGCGCCAGAACCTCAACCAATCTCATCTCTTCCACGGACGTCATTCATCCCAATCCCAAGTACCATGCCTCAACTGGTTGAATCTTACTATCCTTACTACTTGGATCAACCGACTGATGCCGAAATGTCAAACGGGAACTACCGATTTGGTAGCCTTCTAGAGCCTCATTTATGTACGGAAGCGAGCGTTGATACCAACAACCTCCATCTGACTGCGTTGGAAATGGATACCGATCAAGAAAATCGGTATTGGGACTCTGCTTTTACCCTGCCTCCACCGCCACTACCCTCGCTATCACAGTCCTCTTCCGTAGACATAACGACAAGCAACGAAGTAGATTGTCTGGATGAAGTACGCTGTGACCGATTACCATCTCCGCCTCCATTTTTGAGCGTCGCTGCAAACGGAGAATCCACTGCACCATCTCAAACCAGACTAACCGTGTCCGCAAACTACCTAACCTTTGGCCCTCTCTCCCCGATTACCAACATCCTACCGAACGCGACTCTTTCGGGTTGTAAGTACTTGTTTATGTTCGCTTATCTGACGATCCAAACGAACAGTGGTCTTTCGGTAACCTTTTCTTATTTTCAGAAGGATCAGAAACTGCTTCATGTTGATTTCTTCCTCTCAAGGTAACGTTTATTACTTGCTTGTATGTTGCGAGTATCTTTAACGGGACATTTGGGTAAACTTAAGATTGATACAGTACAAGTTAGTGCATTCAATTAGCGACCGTGACGCGCTTGTTTCTCCGCCGTGTATGATTCACGCAATTTCCATCATGACCAACCGATTCTCCACATGCAGGCCGTATGGCCTATGCAGGCGGTGTGTCTGATTTGGCATGATGCCAAATGGCGGTCCGCCAGCCACAGGACTGCCTGCACTCGTCGTGATGGGTGTGGGTCGGCAGTAAATTTATCCGTCTCGCTCATCGTGTATGCATGTGATGTCACAGTGCAGGTCAACCAGTCGTGGGACTTCGTCCGTCTGGCCATGTTCGACCAGGGTCGCCAGCCTATGTCGGGGTCATTCCACCCGACTCGTTCTTTGTCAGGGCTGGGAACACGTTGACCTCGCATCACCCATCCCATTTTCTTCCGGCTGGTCGCACCGGAGGAACAGCTCGTTTGCCTCAAACACAAACCCAGCACACCGGGTGCGCGTGCAGGCACGTGCTAACGACCTTATCGGTTTGTCTGGTTGTAGGGTCTAATCCGTCGTTTGAGACACAAGATATGGTCGTGCATGTATGCCGGTGTATGTGTGTTTATGTAGGTACGATTGCTAACTCTCTACAAAGACTCGTGTGTGTTCTCACCGTCTAACGTTCATTCCCGAAGGGATTAAATTGAATTGGAATTACTGCGTGTGATAAACTGCAGATAGATTATGATCACTCCACTCAGTTCCTTATCTCACGGTCGACTGTCAACTAACTGTTGTAATCCGTGCATTTGATCGTAACACGTAACAAAATTACTTTTGTGGATTTACCACTCATTTAATGTGGTTGAAAATATATTCAACGGTTGTCTCCCGTGGTCGGTGTGTGCGAACAAACTCGTTCAGCTTTCTTTGAGGGCATGTTCATTTTCGTCCTTGTTGAATACAGGATGTTATTCAAAGCTGAAATGGAAGTGCGAACAGGGTTCCAAGCGGCGTTCCTCTTTGTCTTTGGGTTATCTTACTATCATCCTCGACTGACATCAAGTTTGTCGGGATCTTCTAGGAAGGAATAGCGGGGTATACGTGTTTCAACAAATTAAATACATATCTATCGAGCCATTTCTGTCTTTAGTGACTTCAAAGTTGAAGTCTACAGTGATTTTTTGGATTGGTCAGTTAACGGCCGATCGGTCGACAAAATTGTCCGCCTTGTCTCTGGTTATCAGTATGCCCCTGTCAAGGTAGTCTGTTTTACCAGTAAGTCGTTGGGCAAATTTACCATGTTAGATAAGACCCAATTGTGAAAAGTCAGGGCTTCGGCTGGATTCGAACCAGCGGCAGAAACACCATGACTAAAAGTGGCAAGCGCTCTACCAGTTGTGCTACGAAGCCACGCCGGGAGTTCGGAAACTTCACATTTGAACTCCGTTACCCACTCTTCCCACTGTCTCATATGAAATCCACCAAATGATCCATGGAATCGATTACTCCGATAGAATTTCTGTTTTGTTCAGACAAATGACGCTTAATTTTATACGGGAACCATCTCTTTTCTATCAGGTATAGATAAACGGCAATTTGTTTCAAACCTGTTTTCATAACGGTTTGGAGATTCTACCATCGAAATTTCGATACACACTGACCATCAGCATTTAGACCATGGAGGTTAACGCGAATTATTGTCGAACCTTTCTGGCCGAATAGGAACATTTCGAAGATGCTGAGTCCCAACCGTATAAAGAATTTTTAATATACAGACCAAAGGCATAAGTGTATTGTACTTCTGGTCGGTAATTCAGAATGACGTACGGGCGTACTGGCACGTATGAGCTTGTTCCTTGAAATGTACAGCTTGATTGGGCCTGAGTGTTCAAGTTGGTATGTATACTTTTTGTAGTTCCACAGAAATCTGTGGGCTTTCTTATCGTTTACCAACCGTGTGCATACAGTTAACATCTATGTCCACCACGATTTGTTATCCGTACTTAGTCGCTTATCATTCTGGGGCAGCTTTGTATACACAATTTTTGCAGGTATGCAAGATATACAATTCGAATTTGACCCAATTATTCTTCCATTGTGAGTTCTTCATCGGTCCAAGGTGTATTCCAAAACGACTTATTGTTTTAAGTTGTGAGTATCGGACCACCAGAGCGAACCTGAATTGTGGAGTCAAAAATCGATCTAATAATGGTCCCCAGGAAACCGTAGCACTCTAAAGACTGTAAACTTCATACAGTAGTTATTCTATTTCAAAAATCCCTAGTGCCATCACGTCTATCTATGTTGTGATCTATTCCCGTGAAAAAGGCCCGTCCACTTTGGTTAATCGTGCGATTTTGCCGGAAATCAGGGAATTAATACGCGAGACAACGAATCAGCCAGTTGCGTCTGGAATTCGAGAGAAACTTTGGCCAAAGGAACCGTCGTGCTTGTTAATCGGGGAAACAGAACACGTCACCGACGTACATGGTCCTTGGTAGCTCTGACTGAGATGCCAGTACCAAGGTCCTTTCCTCCCTCCCATCTGTCTGCTCACTAGCAAACAAAGTACACGGTATTGATAAAACAGAGGATGTACAGGTGGTGATCCTCAAAGCTAGTGAACAAGTGAGACCGCTGCTCATGAAATTCTAAGCACACTACGATGACGACACAAGTGGTATTTCACAGGTTCGATTTCGTTTTAATTATCGTTGATCTGATTGCCGTAGTTGACGGTGAACAGTGTGAGACACAGTGCACATAGTACGTTTAATCACACAAGGTATTTGTTTTCGAAAGAGGCTGGTGGGCTAGTTTATCTGAATACGAAAGCTGTGATCATATGTGAGTGATTTTAAATCTGAAATATTTACCTGTGGCCAACGCTAATCCCATGCTCAAGGTATGGGTGGGTATGGTTGTCGTACACTTAAGCATATATTTAGATGGCATATACAGACTCTTCACATATATTGCCCATGTTTTTTTAGTGGTTAAATGATCGACAGAGTAACCACGTGTTCTTGAATCGTATGGTAACCGTTCACGGTTTTATCAATTTCTTGAACATTTCCATTTCACGCCACCTATGCGTGTATATTCGTGGCTCCGCTACCCGTTTAGCTGACGATAGTAACGTGTTTCTATCCAAGAAGCTGTCCAATGAGTGTTCGGCTTGGGCGATACTACTTATATGTTTGTTGGTGGTTTTGTTCGACTTATCAATAAGATATTCATTTATAAGTAGCAGGTACTGAAACACTTACAAAGGTTTTTGAAAGGTGGACGTCAAGATTCTAATTTGCAAGTCATTAAGTGGACTTTGTCAGATTTTAGTTTTACGCACGGCAAAGAAATGAGAAGCGGCTGGTTATGGTCGGTAAATCGTAGTTACGAATGATCAAAAAAAGAGAATGATAAACAACGAATAGCCTATAATTTCATACGTACAAGCCATCAGGCGTTTGAGACAAACAGACATCCGATTCACCAAACGTTTTGATCACAGGTCAACACGAATTTTCTAAAGTAAGCAGCTGCATTATTGTTAACATTACTCAAACGAATGTCCCCGTTTGTGATCCCCATGAATGTGATTTGTGCAAACTGGCAGTATAACGAATTGTCCATACTAGTCAATAAGTTGCGTGCCGATGAAAAACTGTTGGCGTTAACCCATTTTTTGCTGGAAAGTTCTCGTTGTATCAGGTATTCAGACTGCCGCTCTATTAGCAAATATTGGCCTGACCCATTCCTTTGTTATCTTAAATAACCATAAGTTATTTTCATTTTGGACGAACATGTTTCGTCTCAGTCTGCGCATCATGTATTTTTCACTCATCTATCAGTTTGGCGAACTCCCTAATCGTCATGCTACCCTAGGCTTTTGCTTGCAAATGCGTATATATCTCTACATTGTCATCTTTCCCCACGCACACGTGTAATCCAGCATCTGCTTCGAGTGCTTTTGTAAGACAGACGTGAAAAGCGCGTTTTTTTATACAGTCACAACAACGTGCACGTCTCCATCCTCCCTTGTTTACCCATACCTAGGCATACGTTGGTCATCCGTCCGACCGTGTGTCTGTGTAGGGTCGGCATGCCACCTGAATCAGGTTTGGCTCATCGACCCCCTTTCTCAGCTTTCAGCCCGTTCTTTCTTCTCCCTTTGGATGTTTGTTTGTTTACATGTGTGTGCGTGTGTGACGCTCCAGTCCAACAATTCGTGTGCCTGCCAGTCCGTTTCCCTCATGTTTGTTTCTCATGCCTGTTCGCCTTCCTTGGCTAGACATAGACTAGTGGGTGTGTGGCTAGCCGGAAATTGTATCCAAACCTCTATTCCTTCTGTCACATTGACTAGCACATTTAATCCTAGAGACTGAAACATCGTTCATCGGTTGTGGTTGTATAGCAGAAGGATATTTTGGGCCATGGGTTTGCCAATGCTTGATTGATAATGTGTATTGCAGCAAATACGCCTGCTTCAGTCTAGTTTGTTGACTACTGGTTATTATGGGAACACCTTTCTGAATTATACTCGATCTAGTTTATAGGATAATTACCTATGACAGTTTGACTTCATCCTACTTGTCACTGAAGGGCAGAGTACGCACTGTCTCAGTGTGCACTTTCTATATATATATATATATATATATATATATATATATATATATATATATATATATACTGCAACACACTCTTACACTTGTGTACATTTGGTTGTTCTAGTGTTAACACTAGATCCGCAGGACAGATGCACTCAGGGCTCGATGTCTTCACATTCTTAAGATAATATTAGTCCTACGGAGTTGGAACTACTGCCGAAGTGCTCCTGATGTTTCCTGCTGGATGAGGTGACTTGGATTATTGAAAGGTTGTTTCCTTGTTTAAAAGTGGATGACGAATTGTCCATCCAATACAAACCACGAGAAGTTCATCCATTTTTTACAGGTTAGTAGTAACTATCACACAAGACATATAAGCTGTTTGCTCCTAAGAAGTGCGGCACAATGGGCAAAATCGTATCAAAGTCGAATCCAAATGCCAGAAGATATACGCAATTACTTGTGATTAACCGGCTCTCAACCTCCGTGGACCGAACGCAACAGGCTCTTGTTCTCGATCCACAGTATTCAAGTAGTTATATATACATGCGTAATCCACTCACGGGATCTTTTCTCTGTCTGGCTTTCAGCATAAATGCGAGTTCTGCTCAACGATGTGCTTAATCACACCTATCTTCCGATATTTTGGTACGATTTTGATACAGCCTGAACTATTGTACGGCTCTTTTTACGAGTTGTTTGTGTTGGATATTCAAGTTTATTTAGCAAAATGAATGGGTGTTATAGGTTTTTATTAGATAACCGCTAGTCAAGCAGGCACTTTTTATTAGGAAAATAAATTTCCCGTTATGCATGCTACACCATCCGATGGAAACCATCTATGAGCATTCCAGTGCTAGTTTTTTTTTCAGTTTTGTAGGCTCGTTTTTTGTGATAGAAAAAAAATTTTACAAATCCCACCTACGTTCGTTCTGTAGTGTGTGCAAAAGCCTCCTTTCTTTATATCGTCGAAAAGGTTTGGTGAATATTCCCAACTTTGGATTGTTTGTTATTCCCATTAATCCGCGAAAAGAAGAGAAAGTGTTAAGACGATATTTTAAAGAGAGGTTTTATGTTAGCTTATAAAATCCGAATGTGATCAGAAATGACTATTCCGTGCTTCTAGTATCAATGACAAATGCAAAAAATATTTTCAGCCGAACTTCAGGAAATAGTACTAACTACAGCTGACTGTAATCTTTTCTGGGAACACTCAAAGTTCGATGTGTAGTCCAAGCGGATATATAGCTCGGCACAAACCACAAACGAACCAATGAGTAACTTCTACAGTTGATACTTAGCAGGTCACGAGAGTGTGACCGAATTCGGATGCCTGTGGATTAAAGCAGCAACGAAGAGCATACGCAGATCACAAAGATCAATCACTGTGGTTAACGTCACGACTTGATTCGCCCTAAACTGCTTACTAAGCAATAGAACTACAGTTGTGCGTCATCTGGGAAGCATACCGCTAGGCTTGCTTCACGGAAGTGGTTATATGTCAGCAACACCTTGTTGTCAGCATAATCAAGATCAGTCAGTCTTTCACTAAGTTGGAGGTCCACGCCGGCATCATTCGAGTGCCGCAGACAGTCCTCCATTATTTCGTCTATGACGGAATTGAACAAAAATGATGGCTAACCGAGCTCAGTTGCGTGAATGTTGTCGTTGTCTGTCAGAGTTGTCTGTGAACTGAGCGCACTTAATGACGCGGGGCAGTGAAAGCCGTGAGGAAGCTGTCTTGCTGATGACCCCTTACTTTCACTTACAGCTCGATTGTTTGTTTGCAAGGTGTAGGCGCCT